ACCATTTATTTACACCACATACGAAAATAGACTCAAAATGGATGAAGGACCTCAATGTGAGAAAGGAATCCATCAAAATCCTTGAGGAGAACACAGGCAGCAACCTTTTGACCTCAGCAGCAGCAACTTCTTCCTAGGAACATCGCCAAAGGCATGGGAAGAAAGGGCAAAAATGAACTATTGGGATTTCATCAAGATCACAGCAAAGGAAACAGTTAACAAAACCAAAAGACAACTGACAGAATGGGAGAAGATATTTGCAAACGACATATCAGATAAAGGGCTAGTATCCAAAATCTATAAAAAGCTTAGCAAACTCAACACCCAAAGAACAAATAATCCAATCAAGAAATGGGCAGAGGACATGAACAGACATTTCTGCAAAGAAGACATCCAGATGGCCAACAGACACATGAAAAAAATGCTCCACATCACTCGGCATCAGGGAAATACAAATCAAAACCACAATGAGATATCACCTCACACCAGTCAGAATGGCTAAAATTAACAAGTCAGGAAATGACATGCTGGCGAGGATGCAGAGAAAGGGGAACCCTCCTACCCCTGTTGGTAGGAATGCAAGCTGTTGCAACCACTCTGGAAAACAGCATGGAGGTTCCTCAAAAAGTTGAAAATAGAGCTACCCTATGACCCAGCAATGGCACTACTGGGTATTTACCCTAAAGATACAAATGTAGTGATCCAAAGGGGCACGTGAACCCGAATGTTTATAGCAGCAATGTCCACAATAGCCAAACTATGGAAAGAACTTAGATGTACAACAACAGATGAATGGATAAAGAAGAGGTGGTATATATATATACAATGGAATACTATGCAGCCATCAAAAGAAATGAAATCTTGCCATTTGTGACAACATGGATGGAACTAGAGGGTATTATGCTTAGCGAAATAAGTCAATTGGAGAAAGACAACTATCATATGATCTCCCTGATATGAGGAAGTGGAGATATAACGTGGGGGGTCTGGGGGGTAGGAAAAGAATAAATAAAACAAGATGGGATTGGGAGGGAGACAAACTATAAGAGACTCTTAATCTCACAAAACAAACTGAGGGTTGCTGGGGGGAGGGGGATCGGGAGAGGGTGGTGGGGTTATGGACATTGGGGAGGGTATGTGCTATGGTGAGTGCTGTGAAGTGTGAAAACCTGGCGATTCACAGACCTGTAGCCCTGGGGCTAATAATACATTATATGTTTATAAAAAAAATTTAAAAATTTATTTTTTTTTTTTTGGTTAAAGATTTTATTTATTTATTTGACAGAGATCACAAGTAGATAGAGAGGCAGACAGAGAGAGAGGAGGAAGCAGGCTTCCTGATGAGCAGAGAGCCCGATGCGGGGCTCAATCCCAGGACCCTGAGATCATGACCTGAGCTGAAGGCAGAGGCTTTAACCCACTGAGCCACCCAGGTGCCAAAAATTTAAAAATTAAAAAAAAAATGGGCAAAGGATTCAAAGATAGAAAGATAAATACTGAATAAAGAACACTTGATGTTTCTTTTAAGAAGCTATATCTGGGGGCGCCTGGGTGGCTCAGTGGGTTAGGCCGCTGCCTTCGGCTCGGGTCATGATCCCAGGTCCTGGGTTCGAGCCCCGCATTGGGCTTTCTGCTCAGCAGGGAGCCTGCTTCCTCCTCTCTCTCTGCCTGCCTCTCTGCTTACTTGTGATTTCTCTCTGTCAAATAAATAAATAAAATCTTTAAAAAAAAAAAAAAAGAAGCTATATCTGGCCAATAAACACATAAAAAATGCTCAACATCACTAACCATTAGGGAAATACAAAACCAGGAGATACCACTTCAACCCATTAGGATGGCTACTTAAAAAAAAAAAAAAAAAAACAGAAATCAACAAGTGTTGGCAAGAATGGGGAGAAATTGGATTCCTGTGCATTGCTGGTTGTAACGGAAAATGATGCAGCTACTGGAGAAAACAGTATGGCAGCTCCTCAAAAACTTAAACAGAATTACTGTATGATCCAGAAATTCCACTCTGGCCATAAATCCAAAAGAACTGAAAGCAGGGACTGACAGATATCTGTAGACCTATGTTTATAGCAATATTATTCACAATAGCCAGAAGATAGAAGCAAGTGTCCCTTGATGGACAAATTGATAAAATGGTACGTATACATAACAACGGAATATTATTCAGTCTTAACAAAGAATGAAATTTTGACACATTCTACAACACAGATGAATTCTGAAGACATTATAAATGAAATAAACCAGACACAAAATGACAAATATTGTATAATTCCACTTATATGAGGTACCTAGAGTAGTCAAATTTGTAGAGAAAAAAGTAAAATAGTTAACTGCCAAGGACTGAGGGCAGGGAAGAACAGGGGTTAGAGTTTAATGGGTAGAGTTTCAATTTCAGATAAAGTTTTGGAGATGGAGGGGAGTAATGGTAAAAAAGTGTTTGATGCCACTATACTGTACACCTAAAAATTGGTTAAGATGATAAATTTTAGGTTATGTATAATTTCCCATAATTAAAAAACAACAGCACAGCTCTTGCCTTAAACTCTTAATAAAAAGCCCAATATATAAGGCAGATAGGAGTGAGGTGCCTACAGTTGGAGCAGGAAATGGAAGGGCGGGAAGTGTCCACTCTGCTTGGCATCTCCTCGCTGCCTCCTGGAACAAGGACCCAACAGAGCTACAGAATGATCACAAGCGAGGTTCATAGCACCATCCTAAAGAACTAAGGCACTGGTTTCACTGCTTTTTTGTTTTTTGTTTTTGTTTCAAAACAAAACCCACAACATTTATTTATTTATTTATTTATTTATAAGAGGGGGTAAGTGATGGGACAGAAGGCAAAGGAGAATTTCTTTTTAAGATTTAAAATTTTTATTTATTTATTTGATAGACACAGCGAGAGAGGGAACACAAGCAGGAGGAGTGAGAGAGAGAAAGCAGGCTTCCCGCTGAGCAAGGAGCCCAATGAGGGACTTGATCCCAGGACCCCGGGCTCATGACCTGACCTGAAGACAGATGCTTAATGACTGAGCCACTGAGGCACCCCCAAGGTTTTTTTTAAAAAGTATTTATTTGAGAGAGAACAAGAGAAAGAGAGTGGGAGGTGAGGGGCAGAGGGAGAAGCAGACTCTGCAATGAGCAGGGAGCCCCACACAGGGCTCAATCCCAGGACCCTGGAATCATGACCTGAGTAGACAGAAGACGCTTAACTAACTGAGCCACCCAGGTGCCCTGGAAAGGGAAAGAATCTTAAGCAGGCTCTACGCTCAGTGGAGAGCCCCACTAGGGGTGGGGGGTTCTCGATCTAAGGACCCTGAGATCATGACCTGAGCCGAAACCAAGAATCAGACACTTAAGTGACTGAGACACCCAGGTGTCCCTGGTTTCACTGTTCTTAAGGACAGGAAGTAAAAAGTTACTCCTGGCTCTCTTTCTAGGAGGAATTTAGCAACAAGGAAAAATGACATCATCAACTGGCCTCGGGCCAAATGTCAGTACTGACTAATTTTTACAGAAATCACTTCATATCCTGGTGGCAGGGGAGAACTATCAGGGGAAAGAGCAACATGAAGTCACTGGCACCCATATCAATTATCATCAATATCTCACGGACTCTGAGTCCTTTTCCGTAATAACTCAATCCTCGAAACAATCCTGTCAAATAGGCATGAAGGAAAATTGTGTGATTGCTCACTACCAAATGGATAAACAGACAAAATTCAGTGGACATTATCCACAGAGAATCCCTCAAGCGGAACTGACTTTAGGATAGTAACTGCTCACATTTATCAAGGATTTATTAATTAAGACACCGGCTCAACATTTCCACAGACAACGGATTTCATACTTCCAACTAGTCTTTTCCCACCATACTTGGTAATAGTAACTATTATTACTCCTTTTTCTAGGAAACTAAGGCTCAAAGAAAAAATAACTATGCTAAAATTAAACGGTTTGATAAATGATGGACTATGATGGATTACCCTGAAACCTACTGTTCCAGAGCCTGTGCCCTTAACCATTTTCATCTGTACAGCCCATCTGAGTCCTTGACTCTGGCCCTTTGGGAAAAGCCCAGTCAATGCTTCCTTTAGCCTTGAACACAAGTACAATTGATGAGTCTCTATAAGTCACTGTGTTTCTAAGTTGAACTAGTATGAACCAAATAAATCAGGAGTCTCATTCCCTGCGTATAAACGCAATGAGATACTATTTCTTACACGGAGAAAAGATTCCTGGACCCTTTACAATCCTCTAAAAATGAATATACAAAAATATCTGCAAGATTACTAGAATAAAAAGTCACATTCGGATCATCTCAAACTTTCTTTTCTGTAAGCTAAATAATCCGCTGGTGGACAGAGTACCAATTATTTCCTATACTTTTCTGAGTGCTTCTTCAGAACTTTCTGAAGATGTCTGCATTCTTCTCCAGAAACCGAAGAGAGGAGAAACGCTACGGTTTGTCAACGGGGCATTCAGTCTGCATCCCACGGGATGCAAGGGCTTTGGGCCAACTGAGACAAGGACTAACTGGGAAGAGCATCAGCCAGAGGCTCCTGCTGGACAACTCTGACAGGCCAGCGCAAGAAGGGGGCAGAGCTGGGGCAGGGCTGTAAGCCAATGGCTAGAGTTCCTTCCATCCCTCAAGAGAGGCTTCTGGAGACCACCTCCTTCATGAAAATCTTTTAAGTGGCTCTTTTACAACCACCAAACAATATACATATTGTGTCTCAACAAAACCTATCTACGATGTGGGTGTTTTATTTACTCTAAGTGTTAAGAACCTAATAAGCACCAGCTCTTCACACACCTGTCACCTCCAGCTGTGACTGTGTGCTACCCTGAGTACAGACGGGCTGCCCCATTAACTCTGGGGACATTGCTTTTCTCTCTCCCACTGCAGATGGGATTCAGCTCTAGCTCCTCACAGTGGGGCCAGGGTGCCCATGTGCCTCTCACCTGAGAACTAGGGGTGAAGAGGATCTTACCGAGTTCTCCTTCAGTTGCAGCCCCTCCCCATTGGGAAGGGAGGACCGTCTCTTAGCCGAGTTCCTGTTTGGGGTTGAGGTAAGGGCCCCTGCTTTCTTCTTCACAGTGAGGACCTCACAGCTGGCTTGGTCTTCATTATGTGTGCTCTTCCCAGCATTGATAACCCTGCAGAAGAAGCCAGAAGAGTGGTCAGACAGTGATTTCAGGAAAGCTCAGAGCCCAGTCTCAAGGGTCAGCCTTGGCAGGCTCCAAAAATAAAGCCCTACCTAGAGCACAGGACCCTGTGATCTTGTTATTTTATGTTCCCAAGTAAACTAATTTTGCTAAAATGGAATTATATTAGCACACTTTAAAACATTTCCTAAAGCACTATTTTGAGCCCAGCTCACCTTCCCAGGTGTCTGACGGCTGTGAGCAATCCCACCAATCCATTTTGGTCAAAACACAGGAGACACTCTTTTGGCAATTACCATGAAGATTGATGGACAGGCTGGGGGGGAATTCTGTTGCTTTTCTCCAAGTGATAAAGAGCAAAACCCACCATTAATCTTATCAAAGAACAAGGCAGTGCAGTAATTTACAGCACACTATAAAATCCAAGAGAACAGAGAACCACATTTCACTACCGCTGTGCCCACTTTTACTTTATTCACAGAAAAGAAAGTTCATCAAAGGTGTATTTTAAAAATTATCTTTAATCCTTCATTTTTTTCTCCTATAGAATAATATTCATCACATTGTACCATTACACTAGGCTATAGGGGACTCTGATTTGGACATGTGACCGTATGATATTACAGCATGTTGATAATGCTTTGCCTAATTACTAAGTGTTTTAAGCATAGGAACATTTTAGAAGAACATGCTACATCATTCATCTACCTTTTCTGTATCAGGTGACTGCAGGTGAACTCTTGGGTTTCAGCATCATTTTCTTTTTCTTTTCTTTTCTTTTTTTTTTTTTTTTTAAAGATTTTTTTAAAATTTTTTTTTATTTATTTGACAGACAGACCACAAGTAGGCAGAGAGGCAGGCAGAGAGAGAGAGGAGGAGGAGGCAGGCTCCCTGCTGAGCAGAGAGCCCGATGCGGGACTCGATCCCAGGACCCTGAGATCATGACCTGAGCCGAAGGCAGAGGCTTTAACCACTGAGCCACCCAGGCGCCCTCAGCATCATTTTCTTATTAAGTAATTAATTCGCAGCTAAAATAGATTTCCCAAAAGAGAGAGCTCTCTTTGCCATTGGCTGTGTTTTCTTTTCAAAACTTCAACAGTGTCACAGTCGGTGACAGAATGAATGTGGAGGGGTGGGGAACAGAACTCAGTAGCAAGGAAAAGAAAAGATGCTTTTTTTATTTTTTAAGGTAAGATAGTAGGAAATCTAGAAATCCATTCTGTAAGTGTGATGTGTACACCACTCTATCAAACTGGTTATATTCCCTCGTAAGTAGAAGATAATCCTTTCCAAATAACTTTTTAAAATTTTGAATCATCAAATAATTATAGACTCAGAGTAAATTGCTAAAACAATGCACAGTTTCAGGCACCCTTCCCCCAGCTGTATTATTTGACATCCCTACAGTAGAATAGCACAACAGGCAACTAACACTGATGAAATACTATAATCAGACTGCAGACCTTATCCAAATTTAACAGTTTTTTTAATATCAAATGGCTCTCAGTATTAAAAACTGCATAGATTTCCATAAGCCAATGCACACTCACCATAACCGAAAGGGAAACAGAGAGGAAATGGGGATCCGAGTTACCCCAAGACCTAAGGGTGTGTTTCAAGCATCCTTCTACCAAATGTTGGGAGTGTATGGACATGTTTCAGATGTTTTAACATTTACTTCATTAAAAAAAAAAAAAAAATTATTCATTTGAGACAGAGGAGGGGCAATGCCAATCCCAGGACCTGAAGACCATGACCTGAGCCTCAGCCAAATGCAGACAGACACTTAACCAACTGAGCCACCCAGGTGCCCCTTAATATTTACTTTAAATTTATTTTTTAAATGTACAGCATTTTGGGAAAAAATGCAATAATTTAGAAGTTCATTCCCATCTGTTACACGTGAACATAGAAATGTCCATGGTCTACATATTCAGGCAGCTTTGGCATAATAAGCCTATCTTTTCTCTTTAATTGACTTACCACTTGACTGGGAAGAGAAATTTTTAAAAAAATATCACTTGTAATTGCTTATCTATATGTTATATGAAAAAGACCACACCTGTCATCTATTATTGTCCTTATCGCAAATTTTTGGGTTAATCAAAACTGCTCCATAATCCTGACGGGGTTTATTATAAATTTCAATGCAAGCATATGTTTATACACAAAAGCCTACTTTTACTCACTTTATGTATTACACTTCTGTGTAAGATTTTTAAAAAGTAGATCGCTGCTTACAGAGTCTGAAACTCATTGTCTAGGGGCCTGTGCAGGGAGGTGGGGATCCTTGTGACCTCTGAGGTCAAATCTGTCTCTTGTGTTTATGACACACTCTTGCTGATGGAGGGATGGGAATGGAAGAGATCAAGGCCTAGTTTTCTGCCCCACCTTCACTCTCCCTCCTTCAGGAGGAGAGACTTTCATATGGTTTAAGTTAAAATGTAATTTCCTATGGTTTAAGTCACCGTGTGCTTGAAGACTATTAATACTACCACACTCACCACCTGAGCTAAATCAATTAGTCCAGGTTTTGCAGCCAGGAAGTGGTGCCGCTAGGACGCAGAACGAACCCCCCAACCCAGTCTCTTCCTATTACACATGGGGTCTTGCACGGTCTGTGGTAGGCCAGGCTGAACCGTGTGGGGAGGCACAGGAGCAGCAGATTAGAATCAGGTAGCTCACTACCAGGCGTGACAAATGGGAATAAGCTGCCTCTTCTGTAACTAGTGGAGAAAGGACCCAGACGGAGGATGAGGGATGGATGGTTCAGATCTGCCTGTCTTGAGATGAGTCCACGTTTGGTCCCACGGTTTGCAGCTGGCAGAGCACATACGTTTGTCCAGAGTCTCCTTCTCACATCTACCTTTGGAGAACCAAACCGGGCAGAGGAAGGCGGTATGAAATACCACCTGCCTCTTCTCAGTCATGGGTAGCAACTTGCCAAGCAACCCATGAGGGGTGGGCTGCTGGCTGGCTGGCTGGGGACGATACCCTCCCCATGCCTCTCCCACGAACGGCTTCCCCACGGAAAGTAGAAGTGGAGGTTTGGCTGGGAAAACCAATTCGTGACAACCGTCCCCTCCATATCGTCCTCTGTTCAACATCCCAGCTGCTATTTCTGGAACTTGGTATCACCCCTACCACTGTCACCTAAACTTGGGCTGCAGTCAAGTCTTTTTGTAACAAAAAAAGCATCACTGGTCTCCAATAGCGACAGGCCAGGCTGACTCATCTGCCACTGCTGTTTTCCACCAGTCAACAAAGCTACTATAATTACATACATCCTGAACCGTGGGCACCTGAAAGGGCTTTACTTCCTCCCGCTCTCAGTGAATATTAAACTCCAAAGTTGACCTAACTTCAGCAAGAAACCTTAGAAACTTTCTTTTGTGCACAAGCAGCCTGGGGCCCTGGAGGTCTCCGCTGTGCACAAGGTCATGCAGCTAAATACGGCAGAGCCATGCACACTTGTGAGCTCCCAGCAATTTCTCCTGTGGCTCTCAGTTGTTTTATTTTCCTATTGCGTATCTATTCTTACCCGCACTTGGTTCAGAGTGCTGTACTGCAATGACTCATCAAAGCCAGAGAACTGTGACAGATCACTAGTGGCCTTACTTTGCCATTTCAGGTTGAATACAGCTTGTGAATGACACTAACGAAATATCAAACAGTCAGAAATGTTGCCCTGATGGGAAGACAGCAGCCCCAACCTGGGAAGCCTGTTTGGTCAGATATCTGGTTATTATTCAGATATTAAAGTCAGATTAATTTAAAGCCATTGCCTTCAACAACAACAAAAAACCCCCCCACAATTTCTTGTCCTATATTTCATATCATTTCAAATCCCTTACTCCATCTTTGCTAGAAAACATGGTTCTTCTTCTTCTTCTCTTTTTTTTTTAGGATTTTATTTATTCGTTAGAGAGAGACAGAGGGAGAGAGGGAACACAAGCAGAGGGAGTGAGAGAGGGAGAAGCAGGCTTCCCGCAGAGCAGGGAGCCTGACTGGGGGCTTGATCATGACCTGAGCCAAAGGCAAATGCTTAATGACTGAGCCACCCAGGCCCACCATGACCTGGTTCTCCTTAAAGTACTCTGGCTTTAAAAAGATTGGTCTCTAACAATTTAAATCTTTTATTTTGTTCTTCAGAGGCAAATTATCTGTTTATAAAATGTACATGAAATCTTCAATTCCTCTAAAAGTAAACCGAGAAACACTTTGTTTCCCCAAGCAAAGGAGCATCACGCTATTAATAGATTCGATAATTTTATTTAATCTAAGCAGCTGTACCCATAGCTACAGTCCCTACTTATCTTCTGCTCCAGCATGAAGTCAGCACTATCTTGAGATCAAGAGGAATGACTTTAAGATGTGAATTCTTTATCTTAGCCTGATGCTTAAAGACTTAAAAGCAAAGTGCTGGTGGACCAGGAACTGTCCTATCTTTAGGGACATTATTTTCCAATTGCCTACAAAGAGGGAAGCTATCTTCCTTGGAATTGAACTGGAGGCAATGAGCATAGCAATTAAGAACACAGGCTCTCTCCCCAGAACACAGCACCCAGCAGGTGCTCAACAAATGTTTGCTGAATGAGTGAACGATAACCAGGAATCAACTCTGCTACTGGCGATATGTGGAGGAATAACACTCTCTCACATTTGTTGAGAATGAACTAAGTGCCAGGCACTGTCGTTAGCTTTACAGGCAGTAATGAACTCATTTAAGCCTCCTGTCAGATCCGTGAGTTAGCCACCACTATTGTTCTTGTTAAAGGCTAAATCACTGCCAAGTGGACGGGCAAAGTGTTCAGCCAACCTACTTAACTTCTATAAACTTCAGTTCTTGAGCAGTGCTTTGTGGATTAAATTCTAGGAGTGGCTAAGTTACGTGTGCTGGCGAGGGGGATTTCTGGTCATCAATCAAGAACTGGAAAAATGGGGGCGCCTTGGTGGCTCAGTGGATTAAAGCCTCTGCCTTCAGCTCAGGT